ATTATGTTTTTATGTAAAATTGTATTTTGATGAATTTTAGGATTTTTTTTTTACACTACTAAGACTTATAAGTTTGCTTATTTTACTTGATGAGGAGACAAAAATAGTTTATAAACTCAAACCATTTACATAATAACAATAAATAAAGAAATAAATTATAGAAAAAAAATATTATCTCCAAACTAATTATTTTCTTTAAGTTTGTTTAATAAGATGGTATACTGATTACCATAAAACGTTAATAATAAAAGTTGACAAAGTTTTATTCTAGAGTAAAACTTTAGCAATAAAACTTGACAAAGTTTTATTTCAGTGTTAGTAATTATGTAGGCAACATATTATTTTTTAGCTTCAAGATTGTGTCAATATATCATTCTAATGGAAAGACTTGTATATAACAATTGGAATACAAGATAAAAAATCATTTTATCGTAAATTATTGTTAGCACGTAAAAAAAAAAAACCTGAAGAATATAAAAAAAAAAAATGAAGCTTACTCCGCACTATGCGGACCACTTTGCACCGTAATCTACGGAACATGAGTTTTTTTTTTTATTCTTTTCTCTATTTTTTATAGTTTTTTGTTTCATTTCATACATACATAAAATCAGAATTTCTTCCATGTCTTCGCAACCGCACATTTTCTTTTTATTTCCTTTTTTTTTGGCCAAAAATTCTACTTATTTACATTTTACACAAATTATAAATACAATTTCACTTATTAATAATTTAATTCAAAAATATTAGAAATATTCAATTTCATACATACATGAAAATCAAAATTCCTTTCGGGGGCAATGTGAACGGGCAAGTTGATCCCCTTCGGGAGAGTTGCCCCCGAACCTCCACGAAAGACGTTGCCCCCTCGACCCTCGCGACCTGATCGGTTACGTCAATCACGTTTGAGGCATTACTCCTAAATATTTGATGAGATTTTTTCTTCAATATTTGCATGACTTCTCAAAAATAGAACCGTAGAATGCTTAATATTATCAGATAATATTTTCGTCTTTTTTCATTGAACTTTCTTTCTTATTTAGTGTGTACTATAAATATTTTGAAACGTTAGCAAGCTTAAGAATGATTAATATTGTCCCCATTAATTTATTCCTTAGAACAAATTCTTCATTTAAATCTTACTAGAATATTATCATTATTAAGTTTTACTAATTATTATGTTAGATAAAAATTTACAAATATCTCATAATACTATTAATATTTGATACACTAATGTTACCTTGAAAATACTAAAGTCCATACATGCTAAGAAAAGAAGCACATGCAAGAAAAGTCGAATTTTAGTCCTTGTACCGGGGGACATGGAGGGGGCCGGTAGGGGGTTGTACACCCCCCGGTACGAATGCGGTCCAGAAAAGTCCCCCTAAATCAATAAACCGTCCAAATCCATTTTCGCCCCCAAAATTTTGTCTCCGCACTGGCCCTTAATTTCCTCAAAGTAAAACTCAAATCTCTACAAAAATCCACATTAAAATTTCAATATTTGAGTCAGCTAATCTATGGCCGCAGCACCCAATTCAGTTCAGAAATCAGTGGAGGAATGGCGGGCTATTCTCTCTCCCGAGCAATTTCGCATCCTCCGGCAGAAAGGCACTGAGTAAGTAATCTTCTTCGAACCCCTATTTTTGTTTTTCCTTTGATTTTTCTAGATTATTACGGTTAAATACTTGTTGAAGTCCATTGTACATTCTTCCTCACTCCATGTTTTGCAATTTATGTGCCTAAATGTCTTATCAAGGTGTCCTGTAATTGTGTTGTATTGTTTTGATAATTCTGCTTGCGTGAAATGGTTTGATATCAACAGTAATTAATGTTATTCTCGTGGTCTGATGAGTTGCTGGATTGTTAAAAGATCTTGTGGCACTTATAATCTGAGGATTTGATCTAAGAATGACAAAGATCAAGAGAAATGAAACAAGACTTCATTTTTAAACTTTCTCTAAAGAATCCCATGATGAACATGGGTTCGTGGTTGTCATTCTCACACACATATAGTTGTTGGACAATGAAAACCTTTGCATGCTGTAGTTACGTTTTGGGAGCCCCTAAGCCACATAGAAACTGCCTACCTGCATCTAAGATCCACTAAGAAATTTTGTTTTTGGGGTTGTTTCTTTTTTGGGTTCTTTCCATTTCCTTGTTGAATTTAGCAGTAGCTAGATTTATATGAATTTGGTGGTTTTCATATAGCTTATAAAAATTCCCCATCAAGTTCGGAATGCTGCAAAAAGATTGAAAAGAAATGAAATGTGTATAGTTTGTTACTTTGTTAGGCAAGAGATTAAATTTCAAGACAGTGTCATGGGCACAGAAACCTTTGTTTTCTGATGGGGTGGGATGAATCGCTGGGGCTGTTCGAGAAAGTTGAATGCTTTGATTTTCTGTTGTGACATGTTTTCAGTGTGATATATTAAACCAACTAGTTAACGGATTTTAGATTTTTTTGCTAGATTCAACACTTATAAGATTAAAATGATGACTTACTGATTATCAATATTATTATGTTGGTACTGATTCCTATGATTTGATTCTATAGTTATTAAACAGAACCTGGAAACATTGTAATTTTTTCCGAATAAATGTATCCTAAAACCTGATTGTATTCCCAAATGAGAACACTGACATAACGAGATAGGGCTATAAATAAGCCCCTGTTTGGCCCCCATTTTGGGGTGTTAGAAAATTTTTGGAACAGTGATTGATGGGAGAATGTGTTGTAGAAAAGTAATGAAAAATTTTAGATTTGTGTGTAATATTATTTTATTTGATGAATGTGTGGTTGAAATGAAGAGAGAAAAAAATAATGTAATGTAATGGGAAAAAATGGGGGCCAAACGGGGGCTAAGTTGTTCGAGTAGTTCACCTTCAAATAGGTTTGAGAGGGGAAACTGTTCACTAACAATTGAATGTTTAGATTTTGATAGCTGTTGATCATTGACAAGCAAACCATGGAATCAACCGGGACATAGTCCTTTAGTTGGATTTGGTAGTTTTTATGCATGCCTTCATGGTCTATTAATCGGTATCACACACACTTGGAGTAATATTAAGAGTGAAATTTTTGGATGTATACACTTCCAAATCGTACATATGTTAAACACTGGTTGCTTTTTTGGTTACGTGAAGTTTATAGTATTTGACAGTGTGATGAAAATGAACTTGATAAAATGGATTTCCAAACATGCACTGATAATTTAATTTTTGCAGGCCTCGTGGCACTGGAGAGTATGACAAGTTTTATGATGATGGGATCTATAACTGTGCTGGTTGCGGAACTCCTCTGTACAAATCTACCACCAAATTTAACTCTGGCTGTGGTTGGCCTGCTTTCTTCGAGGGTCTCCCAGGAGCCATTAACCGCACAGTGAGTATAAACTTTTGTTAATAATTTCATTCTTACAGAAGATCCCATGTACGTCCTGCTAATGTTATGTTTGAAAATTTACTTATTTCAGCCGGATCCGGATGGTAGGAGGACTGAAATCACATGTGCTGCTTGTGGTGGACATTTGGGCCATGTATTCAAAGGTGAAGGGTTCCAAACACCTACAGATGAAAGACACTGTGTCAACAGTGTTTCAGTCAAGTTCGTCCCCACGGAAACCTCTGCGTCCCTGTGAATTTTTTTGCACAATCGTTAGCAATAAATGAAACCTTGTGTCCTGTTTGTGTTTGCGATGTTGCCTATGTGCTCTTGAAATATTACCGGTATGTGTTGCAGCAAATAAGTGATTGTGTTTTGTGCTTAGTTCCTGTTTTCTTTTTCTTGTATCCTATGTGTTGATGCCTGGTTCAGAATTGATTCAAAGTCTTACAGTTATGTTTATTCCAGAGTTGGTTAGGAGAGAATCCAATTCTTACATGTACTCAACTCAAAGCTCAATATATAGTAAAAACATGCAATCTTAATACACTTTGGTATGCAAAAACGTATATTTGGTCCTTTGATCAAACTTGTTTAGAATACTGTAATGAAAGGAGTATAAGAGTTTGTCAACTAAGCTCTTCGTTTGGAGTAGATTAAAAATCGATAAAAATTTCAAGTCAAAGTTAGCAATTAATTTTAACTATATATTTCATTTGACTCATTACTTATCGGCCACATATCAAGAGAGAAACAACATATTATATATGGAGTCCAACCCTCAAGCCATATCTATGAATTTTCTCCGAGTCTCCCAAACTTCTCTTCCCTAGCTCCCAGTTTCTCTTGAAAACACTATTAAGGCTCCATTTGATACACAACATTTTCCCCATTTTCCAATTTTTGTAGTGTTTGATAAATAAATTTTTTCCCGAAATGTTTTTCCACCTTTCCTCATTTTACACCTTTTTAAGGAAAATAAATTCTTGATGTTTTGGTTGTAAAAAATTTTCCTAATTTTGGTTGGAAAAAATTCAACACAATAGTAAAAAAATTTATCACTTTTATTGACAATTTTCATACAAAACAAAGTCAAACGAATGGTATTCGGTATAGTAATTGGAGGATGATCTTGCAAATTATTGGAGAATGTAATTGATGCCATTGAATAGTTATAGGATGAAATTGATATTATTGATTGTTAAAGGATAACATAGATTCTACTGGTTAGTTGGAGGACTTAAAATTAATAATTAAAGGATGAATTCGAAGCTAATAAATAGTTGAAAGTTAACCTCAAACTATTTATTCGCCTCAAATTCGATCTTTAGCTCCTGTTTGGTACACATTAAAATTTTCATTTTCATTTTTCTATTAATTTTCAACCACACATTCTTCTATAAAATAATATTTTTCATTACATTCATAACTTTTCCTTATTTTTCAACCATACATTCTCCATCAATCTACTATTCCATAATACATTCTTCCAAAATAATGTGGTTCAAACACATCCTTAACTAATTAATTACCTAGAATTAACTTCAACCTCCAACTGTTTGAGTGGATTCCTATTTCATCATCAAACAATTCAATAGCGTCAAATTAGTCCTCGAACTATTCTATAGCTCAATTACATCCTCCAACTTTACAATATCTTCTTTTCAATCTCTAACTATTCTACAACATGAAATTCATCCTCTAACTTTTCAATATGATCAATTTTGTTCTCTAACTATTAATTAGAATCAATTGAATCCTTTCATTATTCTCTAGAGTCAAAATCATAGTCTATCTTTTAATATGATAAATTTCATCCTCCAACTATTAATTGGCATCAACTGAATCCTCCCTCTATTCTCTAACGTCAAATTCATTCTCTAAATTTTAATATGACCAATTTAATCCTCTAACTATCAAATGCATAAATCGAATCGTCTAACTATTATGTAGGATCAAATTCATCCTCAAACTATTAACAAGTATCAATTACATCTCCCAACTATTATATAGTATGAATTTTATCCTCCGACTTCTCATTATGGTCGATTTCAACAACAAACTTTTGTATATGATTAATTTCATCATCCTACTATTCCCTAACTTCAAATTCATCCTCCAACGTTTTTTAGGTCAATTTCATCTTCTAACTATTCACTAGCATGAAACTCATCCTCCATCTTTTAATATGATCAATTACATCCTCAAAACTATTATCAAGCGTCAAATTCATCCTCATACTATTCATAAGCATCAATTGCATCCTCCAACTCTCTAGCATCAAATTTCGCAGTAAATTGTTTAGTCCCGTCCCCTAACAGAAAATTTCGCAACAAAAGGCCATACCCAGTTCCCCTAAAATCGACTCCGCCTCCTCCACCGCCGCCTCGGCCTTCGACTCAAGCAGTCACCTATTAAAGTTTACATATGGAGAACGGGGAGAAGAAGAACTATGAGAGCTACGTGGTGGTGCATAACATAGCCAAGAGACACAACGTGGGGACATTGGCACGTAGCGCCACTGCCTTCGGGGTGTCGGAACTGATTCTCGTTGGCCGCCGCGATTTCAACGCCTTCGGAAGCCATGGATCCACTTCTCACTTACGCTTTCGCCACTTTCACTCCCTGACCCTTGCGTGCTCCTTCTTGAAGGTGCTCCTTTACCCCCACACTACCTTTTGAGTGTATGTATAAGAGTATATCTGTATTTGTTACGCGTTGGAAAGAGATTCATACTTTTTAATGTTAAGTATACATTCACTTGCACAGTGTTAGGATAAATGAAATTTTATCCCTTCAATATATTTTCAATTTTGACCTGTGAGTTATCGAGTTTGAGATGGTAACAAGAATGTGATGATAAGAAGTGAATTCTGCGGTTGAAAATAACGAATTCCCTGTTTATAATAAACACTTTCTGAGTTTCATGTGTTGCAGTTTGAGGTTGCATATGACAAAATACCATTTTTTTGTTAAATTTTTTTTTTTCCAAGTTAAAAAGTTGTGAACTTTATGGTGTAAAGAAATAAATTGATATTGAAAGCAGACCTCATTAATATCAATACTTTTGGATGCTTTGTGAAAACTGACTCAAAAAAATTTTGCAAAACCAACGGTGGATCGAAAAGTTTTATAGGTGAATGTGTAATTTTACTTTGCAGAATGAGAGAATCTTGCAGGTTTTTTCTCTGAAGTTTACTTTTTTTCGATTTTTGTAATGTTTGCACTGATTAGGAGAGGGACTGCGATATATGTGGTGTAGAGATCACGGATAACGCAGTTGCAGTAAATGAGCATCCTTTCAGGAAGAGCACTGCTTTCCTTCTCGGCAATGAGGTAGGATACAGGATACTGACTACCATTTCCTTTGGTTTCCAAATTTTAAATTGACTTCATTTGTTGGGGTGAAAATTTATTAATAAATGAAGAGATTGCATTGTTTATTATGAACACTCTGTCTTGTAATATAAATGAAAATTTTCAGCTGCTATAGATCTTACCTTACTACTGTATCAAAAAAGTAGTCAAATTCTTGTTAATAAATCCAATAATGTTAAGCTGTGAAAGCATTTTTATGTGGGAGTTTTAGTGAACAATTGAGGAGAACTAAGCCCATCCATTTTGAACCCAACTTGTTGGAAAAGTTTGAGCAATTAGACTTTTGGCCTGTTCTAGTATATTAGTTGTTCAAATTTCGACTCTATTCAGCGCATGACAACACTAAAGCATCCGTGATCTTGGAAAAATCTTCCCTATCATTTGTGGTCTTGGTAAGTCTGCCTGCAGTTCCCCCTTATATGTGAATTTTTCTCTTCAAACCAAGTCCAGCGCTCTTCTCTTGAGCAAGAGCTTCAACATCGCGACGAACTCTCACAGATGCAACTGAACCTGGGAGAAGTTAAGAACAACGAACTTTGCAAAGGAACAATATAGAATTCATTAACAAATCCTGGAAAGATAAATATGGTCAAACACCAAGAAGGATACACAGTAAATGTTTGAAGACTAATTATGGATCAAACCATGGCTCTGATGCCAATTTTTTGGGGGCAAATAAGGACAATGAAGCCCAATATACAGGCCTGAACTTAAAAGGTTAAGCCATTAGGTCATGGACCCATCTTAGTATGACAGTTCTTCAAACTTCAAGTATCTATTTCATGTGAGACAACTTGAAGACATCCACATTTCTAACATATTACCTTTAAGTTTTTACACTCTGGGACAACTGGTTTCTTCACGGGAATTACATAATGTTTTTGTTTTGTGTCTTAGGGAACTGGGCTTTCTGCAAAGGAGTGTGAGATATGTGACTTCTTTGTTTATATTCCACAATTTGGATGTGGCACTGCCTCTCTTAACGTTACTGTTGCAGCTTCCATCGTCTTACATCATTTTGGAGGTTTGTTAAAATTGTCAAGTGCTTCAAACTTATCGACCAGGCTTTTGATTCTACTTATACTACTGGTTCTCTGTATGAATAAATTGCTAGCTATTCCTACTAGAATCCCATGGGACCTTCCAGATCTACCAGTCATTTGTATTGAGTTGACCTAGAAATATGATAATTAAAGGTTTGATCGATGAACAATCTCCTAAATTATTGACTGTATTGATCAAAACTAGTAGAAAGAGAAAGCATATAATTAGATTTTGGTCAAATCTTTCACTGCTTTGATTTCATTCCAACGTAGTTGTTCTAATATAGCAACATTTAGTAAGGTGTTATCTAATATAGTTAGATGCTGTAGTTTGGAGGGGTCAGAATTCATATGCAAGAGTTGGGACCCATAATTAACAGAAGCACAAGTACATAAATTTCCCATATAAATCCTTACATAGTCCTTAACAAGAGCTAGTGATTTGGTCAAATAGATATGAAGAGGATATTATTGGTTTTGTGTTTACTTGATTTTGTTGCTGTTTATAGTGATCAATTAGATCAGCCACTAATTTTCTACCTCATTCTCTAATCCGAAGAAAGATTCCATTTAACTTTGTTTTAGAATGCTTGAAGTGGCTCTTGCCTTAAAGTTCAAAATGCTGATATTCTTGAAAAAATATATATGTACATACTCGACATGTTTCTGCATATGAATAGATACCTTACTTTATAGTGCTTTTTTTTTTTTCTCCTTGAAGTATGACATTTCTTCTAGTTAAGTTGTGTAATTGATTTTAGCAAACTTTATTTCAGTTTGGGCAGGATTCTCCGAGAGGTCCCGTGAAGGAAACAAGTTTCTTGTAGCTGAAAAACCTATTAATCAGATGAGGAGAAATTATTGCACGGAAACAGCAGCATCTGTTATTGAGGAGCGAAAATTAAAAAGGGAAAGTGCTGCAATTGGTTTTTTCGATGAGAGTGGAAAAGATGAAGCTGCTCCTAATCTTTTGGATACATTGTTTGATTGAAGAGAAAATTAGAAATTTACTTAGTTTGGTACGTTTCTTCTACGGCAATGTGGATTTTTCGTCCTATGATCATTCGGTAGAAGCAAGAACAAACACACTTCAGTTGGAAATCCTAGTCCATTTCACATAAGATGAAATTACATTGTAATAAATTAATTGCTGTATACGTAATCATATTTTAGCCAACAGTTGATCAATATATTAATGTTTGCGTTCAGTTTGTGAGGTATACACCTATATTTTGTTAGGGAAATAACTAAGTTTCAAATAATCTGAATTTCTTCCTTGTTTTTTCCCACATTTTTCTTTGGGTCGTTGAAGGTGTCAAAGATTGCTGCAGTTAGGTATGCATCAAGATGGTGCTTGATTGCTGGATTAGATTAATACTGTTCAGTAGGTAAGCATCATTTGACCTTTTGTTTGAGGGATCTCTCTATTGCCCTTTGATGTAGAAATCTCTCAATTATTTGTTCATTATATCATTTTTAGAATTGAACAGGAGACAATATTTCTGATTGTTATCTCATCAATGTCTCATCATTGTGTCATGTGATGTATATGCTTTCTAATTAGCGGTGTCGTGCAAGCCTGTCTTTCCACTTTTTTGAGTTGATTTCTGGGTCGAAGTTTAGAACTGTGTTAATTATCCGTGCCAATCTCCGTCCTCTCTGTCGCTCGTGCACACCACAACATAAGTTTCTTTTTGACTTGGGATTGGTGTGGACATTGAAACCAGCGAGTACAATCCAACAAGCTTTCTTGAGAGCCTATTCACCAAATTCTTACATGGCCAAGGATTGAACGTGTATGATGTCTGCAATCAATCAGTCATTATTGATATGTAAGGCGAAGAATTATTATCCTACACCAAACACCATTATGGTGTGATGAAATTAGTAATAATATATTAGTGTGCGCGCGCGTCTTTCGGGTGTGGGGAATGGAATGCCCTTCTCAGTCTTCTTCTATTAATTTGAGGGAAGTGAACATCAAAACAGGAAAAGTGTAAAGAAAAAAAATCCGATGCTTCTGATCGGTTAAAACGTACTCGACTTAGAGGTGTAAAAACTGGACCAAGCCAGCAGATTGGCTCTCCAAAAACCCATTTGATTTTCTTCGTTTTTTTTAAATAAACGTTTGAGAATACCAAGCAATGAAATTAACAGAATTGTTGGAATCCGTGGCCTTGCGAAGGGACTGATAGCAAAAGTATAGCCACGCTCTATGTTCGCTCGGCTAATTTTATACGACTACACATCTAGCTGGAGTTAAAGCTTAACCATCCGCTTTCTGAATTAAGTGGGTTCCTTTTCTTAGATCCCTTTACACTCGGGATCCTGTTGAAAGCATAATGTTTTGGACGACCATCTACAGTTTCATACATGGTCAGCATTTTCTCGATTTAATTTATGAGGTTCCACTATTCCATTCTCATGGATGAACGACATTACGAGAACATTTATAGTACCATTATAGTATTGAAACTTCTCGGAACTTGTTTCTTTCCCAGGTTTTATATTCTGGATTCCATTAGAAAGGTATCAAAATGTGCCGGCCACCCAGCATGGCTGGGCTGCACCACCCCTGGAGCCGGAAATTGTTGGGCCCGTCTGTAGGGGATCAAGACCCTCGTGGGGTAGCCGGATCGATTCCTCTAATTCCTATACGGGTAATAAAAAGTCCTGGTTTCATAGGTGGGAGTTGGTGTGTTATGTTGTCACGAAAAAGAAGGTGAACAATAATGCCCTCCACAGTCAATCTACACCTCAGTCTACGGAGCAGTTGGGATGTTTCTTTTGTCTATATGTTATATTTGTCAACATTTTTATAAACCAGATCTCTTTTACTCTTTATATATTACTTTTCAATGGCCAGCAGAAAAAAGGATCATTCATTTTATTAGAAATTTTCATGTCATCAAGAGAGCATTTACAACTTTCATACACCAAACAGATGTTGTATGTTCTCAGCCGGAGATTTCGGCGTCTTTGCTCGAAGATACGGCAGCTGATATGGCGTCGTCCTAGGCCTAAACTTGTAATCAGAAGGCTTGTGAATCTGAATTCAAAAGGACAGAGTAGAGAAAGATCAGCAACCCATAAGGATATTGGCAAAATAAATGGTACCTCTTTACAGACTTTACAGAGGCCTATTCGACTTGCAACTTTCAATGCTGCCTTATTCTCCCTTGCACCTGCTATTCCTAAGGCTGAGAAATCAGTTGTTTTCAGTCATGAAGAGGACTGTTTGACATTTGGGAATCAGTTGAAGTCTGTGAATGGCCGTCCCAAGGGTATACTCAAACAATCTCCACTTCACCCAATGATCAATGGTTCTGAAGGTGAGAACAAACTCACTAAACCAAGAGCAAAAGTCTCAATAAATCTTCCTGAGAATGAGATATCATTATCTCAGAATAAGGTTATTAACGTTGTTGAGGAATCATCAACAAATTTTAGTTTCAACAGCCTGGCTCCTGTGAGGTCTCCCATATGCTTCCCTGCGAGCATGGCAAACTGGATCAAAGATGCGAGTTTGTATGGAAGTCGAACCATATTTGATGTGCTTAAAGAAGTGGATGCTGATATTTTGGCTTTACAAGATGTGAAGGCCGAGGAAGAAAATGATATGAAGCCGTTATCTGATTTGGCTCGTGCACTGGGGATGAATTATGTGTTTGCTGAGAGCTGGGCTCCTGAGTATGGAAATGCTGTTCTTTCAAAATGGCCTATTAAGAAGTGGAAGGTTCAAAAAATCTATGATGATAAAGATTTCAGGTGATTTTTAACAATTTTTCCAGTATTCTTGAAGGTTTAAAACTGTCTCTCTTTAGTATGTTTCACTCATCACATTCAAACTAGCACGAGTAAAGAAATCATACGTAACCTAAGGTTCCAGCTTACACGTGTTATGTGCCGCTTGCAAACACTGATACAACAATAACAACAGATCCTTATTCTCAATAGATTTAAGGTCGGCTACATGAACCCTTCTTCATTTTATTATATTTGTCCATAGATGTACGTGGAGATTCAAAGCTACTAGATCATTAGCAAGTAACATTTTTCCATTTTAAATTTAAAATACCCCTTCCTCTTCTAATTTGCTCAACCGAAGTCCCACCATTCTTTATGAAAGAGAGCCTCTTTAGGCCGTTACAAAACATGACCCCAACCACCCAAATCGTCATTCCCTTAATTCATCCTCAACCAATGCCATCTCTGTTTGTTTGCTCATACTCTCAATTCTTATCGTATCCATTTTAGTATGCCCACACATCCATTCTACCTATCTTCATTTTCGTTGCATTGATCTGGACCTTTAAAGCATTGGTTTCTCAGGCTCTGTAATGCTAGCATTTGATATTTATTTCTCACCCCGTGTTCAATAGCCTGACCTGCTATAAATTTCTGTTCTTTCATGCAGGAATGTGATAAAAGCTACAATCAATGTGCCGTGGACGGGGGAACTAAACTTCTACTGCACCCAACTCGACCACTTAGACGAAAACTGGAGGATGAAACAGATTAATGCAATAATTCAGTCAAATGATCAACCTATATCTTAGCAGGAGGCATCAACTCTCTTGATGCATCAGATTACTCATCAGAGAGGTGGACTGACATTGTAAATGTAAGTCAATTTAATATCTCATCTTCAACTATCTGATTTTTTTAGGTACTTCAGTAAGTAAAAATTATAAATCTCTTGTGTTTTCATCCTAATAGTATTACGCAGATTTAGGAAAGCCAACGCCAAAAGTTGAAGTGACGAAATTCTTGAAGGAAAATGAGTATACCGATGCTAAAGATTTTCCAGGGGAATGTGAACCAGTGGTTATGATAGCGAAAGGCCAAAGTAAATTACCTTTCTTGCATGACAGTTTGGTATGCAATATTAGTCCATACTGAACACTACAAGGATTAGGGTTTTTTAGCCTCTTTTTCTTCTTTAATACTGTTCAGTGCGGTCTAATCTACCTTACCAAACATGTCATATTATCCAATTTTGTGTACATCGTAGTAAGGCAATTTTCTCGGTATTAATCTTATTATTCTATTTTTTTCTTTGTAACAGATGTACAGGGAACATGCAAGTATGGAACTCGAGTTGATTACATTTTGGGTTCACGGGGCCTGCCCTACACGTTCGTGCCTGGATCCTACTCAGTAATTTCATCGAAAGGCACTTCTGATCATCATATAGTTAAAGTAGATGTAATGAGAGTAGCATATAATACTCGAAGAATTAAAAGGAGACGTAAGAAGCTAAACCAAAGAGTCGAAAAAATTACAAATTCATGTTCTTCTAGAGGTATTTGGCGATTAAACTCCTGATTTTTTTACATGAAAAAATAGTATACCTTGACTTGTTTACAATATTGAGGAGTAGATTGCTTTAGTGTAAGTTACATTCTTCAATGTCATAGTTATGTACACTTGGCTGGACTTTTTGTTATTTCCCATTTCTTCAGATGATACGCAGGCCAATATTTTTCTTCATTAATTCAAACTGTAGCAGCTGCTAGAGAGTTAAACCAACTGAATAAAATTGTAAGATAGGTTTTTTTTCTTGTTCCCTTTCGAACCAATTGTAGGCTGCACCGTGCTGACCCATTGCCATTCAATCTTTAGGGAAAACTCCTAATGCCTTTCTTCCAACTAGAATGCCCATTTTGTCTCTCCCTAAATGGAATGGCTCTCTTAGATACGTTGTGCCCCAACCCGAGTCCCCATGTCTGAGCCAATAGCGCTTTTACACGCTGAACTCCAACCTATTATCATATTCAGTCGGAAGAGTTTAGGTAATACTTTTGGTAGACAGGGCATCCCGGTCAGCACCGGTTTTGTTTGGCGCTCGACTGAAAAAAGGGCAGGATGGATGGAAAGAAGTCAATTTAAAGCACCAATTCTACCCACCTCTATGAATTCTAACCCAAACCAGCCATGACAAGGCTGAGTTTATTAGAACCGTTGTTTAGAAAGACCGGGAAAGAGCTGGGAAACGTTCGCTCATACTGACGGAAGGCATTATTAAATTAAGTGATAGGGAAAGACTTGGAAAAATCCTTCCTAAGCCAGTTTTTCCTAATATATAGTGCCTTCGAAACCAAAATACACAGTTTTTTCTCCTTTTGTCCTCGTCTAAGCTTTCATTAGAAGAAAACTACAAAATTTTTCTTAAGCGGTCACACTCGCAAAACAGGTTTCTTGTTATATGTATGTGACACCTAATATACAAATAAAATTTGTCTCAGTGGCTCCCAATATTAAGTTCAACTGCAGTCCAGGTAGAAGTGTACAGTATGGTTAGATTTTACAGATTTCAACACTTCAAATATGATAAACTGGTTCATGTACAAAATATTGACTGCTACAGGAATAAATTTTGCAGGTTTAGAAAATTCTGATGAGATTGGAGAGATGGGGCAGAATTGTTAAGGAATATTTTCACATCGAGTAAAAATAATTGGACCATTCCTTATAACAAGATTAATCTTTTAAGATCGAATATCTAGTCTTAATACGATATCACTGAATCATAATAATTGCGTGCCCCTGCAGTCTTCCGTGAAGGTGTGTATCAACGATAATAGCTTTATCCAGAATGCCATTTCTTAGGTGAAAAGAGGAGTAGAATAGAATTAAGGTCCAATTCTATCGTATCATGGGCTTGCAATCCTATCAGTCGACTCAATCCTAGTTGGTCATTCCTGGTTGTTGGCGATAGTCGGGACATAACTAATGGCTCGTTGATTAATGTAGACTGCCTTTACTGTGTGTTCTTATCGCTTTTAATTTTTTTCACAAAATCAGTTAGTTTTTTGTAGAAAAACCGATTCGAACTGGACCTGAATGGTTTGGAACAACAACAATTGTGAGGAATCATAGGGCAGTCTGGTCCCAAAAGTTTAAAGATGGTGCGGTCTAGGCTAAAACCGGTCTGATTCACGCCAATTTACGACAGAATGTGGCCTCTAATTTGGCAGGCTAGGTTGAAATACCTGCCATTTTGATACCGCTATTCATGATCGACGCTCTCTACATAGGAGTCAGCCCTCTAAAGATTCACGATAAGAGTAGACGCTCCATACTTCGAGGTGGAAGAAATGGTTCTACAAAACTCTATTTATATAGATTAGGGCCCCTAGTAGGTTGAGCATGTATGGCAAAGCTTTTGTTAGATTATTATAAGTTGTGGGTCTTCGAAATGTGTAGATAAAAATAGAGATGCCCAACTTGTAAGTAATAATAAACTTTGACAAACATTTATGACGACGATTTCTTAGACTATAGATATTAGTGGTCTATCTGAAAATGGAAAGGGGTCGAAACTAACAAATAAATTCTATTGAAAACAGAATGCCAGTTTAGATTTATGTGACAATCAACTTCCAAGAAATCAATTATTGCATATTACAACATATTATTCATAATTCACACTTTAAAGAGGTGGAACCTCCATGCACGAAATAAAAATAAGACAAACATACAAGCACTTATTTTTCATATCTGAATAATCAACATTAGCACAATCACCCTTTCCATGTGGCTAAGCTTTAGCAGAACTTGAACTTGAACTCGAACTTGGGCTTGGGCTTGAAGGGTACCCTATGCCATGGCGGGTGTTCGGAAATATCACGAATATCGAGCCGGAAATTGCCCCGATAACCGGTGGCAACGCCATGAGCAGAACCTTCTGAGTAGACTCAAAAGATGGATAGAAACACTCCACTGTATTAGGGTTTAACATAGCCACGACAGAAAATACAATAAGTGAAAAGAAAGCATGAACAAAGTCCCCAAATCTAAGCCTATAAGAAGACAAGTCCTGCGAGGATGAATTAGGCCATAGGCCCTTATTTGTTGCAATGCCATAATGACTGATTCCTTCACTGTCTTCATAGCTATCAGTAAATGATGCAAAGCAACACGAAAATGCAGAAACGGCGACAAGTATGCCTGATAAGTACTTATTTATGGTGTGGCATTGGCCATTGTTGGTTAAGACAGGATTAAGGAATTGAAACAAGAAAACTGTGCCTGTTGGGAGGAGTTTAATGAGGTTGCCAACGCTTGTTAATGTTCTTACTGCCATAGTTGGGTTAGAATTAGACATTTTTTGGTATGTGTGTGCAAAATATATGGATTTTGTGTTTGTGCAGTGGATTAATGCAAGAAGTTCATGGGATTTATAGGACGGGTGGGGGTTGCTTCTACGTAAAATGGGATGATCTTAGAAGTAGGAAATTTTATTTATTTGCTTCTACTCTTGGGATGGTGGCTTTCGCAACCTTAAAGATTTAGATAAGGTGGGTATTATAACTCCTACTCTCTGTTGGCAGAAGGCAGGATTGTTATGTTTGTTGAAGTATTATCAAGAAATATTTAGGGTGTTACACAAAAATTAAGTAATTCGTGAGTTAGGGGTGTTTTCTTTTCAGAGTCCTTAAATTCTTAAAAAAACTCTCAATATTGTCCTTTACATTTTTATGCTGCAATTCGTTTGTATGCAACGTCATCAACAACTTTTTTTTTTTTTTTGTGTCAAACTCGTTTCGATAAACAATTTATATAACTACCTTTTTTTTTCTCAAATTTCCAAGAGCGTAATTGTATCGGAGGTATATTTCCTCGAATTTAGTTAGATCTGGTCGTGTAAATCAATCAAGAAAATTCACATTGTCGCGCGATATAATTTATTTTATTTTTCCAAGATTTTGATAAATTTTTGAACTAATGAATGGGTGTTTAAAGTTGAGGGACTAAAGAGACAAGTAAACAAAATGAAAAGTTTGAAGAACTTGGGACCTTTGGAAGCAATAAAATATATAAGCAGAAGTGGTATTAAATTAAAGGTATAGTGGCCAATATAATAGTAAGTGACACCTTCAAAATTAAATAACAGCTTAGGAGATATTAGCTATGACACAGAGCTTATCCTAATTAAGAAAAATTGATTTAAAATAGTAATTATCTTGCTCGTTCAACGTTAGAAGTAGACAGTGACAGATCAAAGTCCACGATAAAAAAATGTTCGTACAATCAATCCAACATTAATGTAATAACTAAATTGCTCGATGCTCGCTCAATCACGTAATTAATGTAGATGTGGCGATTAAGTGAATTGAGTCAAATATTCGATCTTCCAATACTACGTGTTACACATATCTTATCTTAAGTAAAGATCATTTAAACAAATAGTGACGTGAACCAGATAATAACGACAAACCATAAATAAAATTAAAATTAAACCTAATTTATTACCAAACTCATTTGACAAATTCATTAATTTTTTCAACTTAACCACTTACATGGTATACGTAATTATCCAAATGTCCTCTTAATTAACAAATTAATAAGCATTCATTTAATTTAGAAATAATCTACTTTTTGAAAAATACATTTTTAATAATCTAAATTCGTTGTGGTTTCCAGGCTCAAAGTTTATGACCTCAAACCAACGTGCAAGTTTTTCTTCCATTGTATTGAGTCAGCAATACGATGAAAGAATATTTAAAGTTGGGGAATGAGTTTGAATGGCCTCTTATCAACAAGTTTTTGTTTAAATGGCCTTTGACCAAAATTCTTTAAAAGGAAAAAGAATTAATTATTTAAAAATTTCAAATGTCTACTTTACCCTCCCTTTTATAACCAAATAAATGAAGAATCTTTTGAAAGTTCAAGGTTTTGAACCTTTAACCTCATGGAAAAAAATGTTTCACATACCACTAGGGCATTGAGCAATATTATTTACGCCATATAATATTATACCTTAAAAAATATATTGTTGTTTTATATACCCTAAAACGATATATACGTCATTTTAATTAAGATTAAAATTGAAACTATATCAATATCGTCAAAATAGTACTGAACGATAATGACATCGTTATGTGTCAAATTCACAAAATAATATAACAACTTTCATATCGTTTTAGTACAAATTTAACAAATTCGAAATTATTCCAATTCAAATTATAATTACAATGACATAGATATCGTTTCTTTTCATAGAAAACGATAATTATATCATACTGGTTAAAACAACGATTCGACCGTCGATTTTAAGCATTACGATAATTATAGCTTCGTTGTTGCGAGTCTGCTCGATTGCTCCTCTCTTTTCTTTTTTTATTTTTGTTTTTGTTATTTCATTGTGTAGTTAAATTTTTTTTTTATTTTTTATTTATGTTTTATAAATTATGATTATGAGTTATGGATGTATTTGTAATTGCGAGCTCGTAGTGTTTACTGCGAGGATTTTGAATTTTGTGAATTTAAAATTTGGAGATTTTGTGAATTCGAGAATCTAACAATATTGAGGATTTTGGTATTTTGGGTTGTATTTTTTTTTTTTTTAGTATTTTGGGTTGTAATGAATTATTTTTTTATATGTATATACTTTTTACGTTTTAGTGCATTTACATATGTATTGAATTATATTTTCGGCTATTACGATCGTTGATTGTCATCAGTCACGAGTTAACAATCAACGATCTTCGCCCTATCTGTACTACAATGCTGAATTCGCACCTGATGGTATGTAGATATTTTTTTCAAAGTTTTTCAATCAAAACTCTTCCCTATTTCTTCACCTTTTTTAGTGGTTCAAAAGCATGATCCACTCAATTTTTCATGCTGTATATGAATATGCACTTAAAAATGTTCCCAACTTTTACCTAAAGTTAGAAAAGATATATATAAGAAATAACAATTGAGGATAGAAATACAAAAGAGGGTGAAATTTGAATTTTCATTTTCTAGCAAGAAATATTTCTAATTGCTTTTTCCAGCACCTTGAAACTTTCCATGGGTGGGAAGAAAGGGGACACTATGCTAAAGATTGGGTCCTACCACCCCTGTCCATTTTATTATCAATCATGCCACATGTGAGGTCTCTTGATAGGATCCTTAACATAATATCACATGACATTCAATAAATTAAGTGTTTTAAATACAATCAACTTTTTTATCAAATCATTTGTTGTCGCATCGAATTATGTGGCTCCATCGATTAAATTTCTTCTGATAAAGTGACAATCGTTTTATTATCAACCACAATTGTTTAAAGTGTTGCCCACCTCTACTTTTTGTTGGGACCCGAGATTGGGAGTTTTGCTGTACTGGTGGTGACTTTTTTCAAATGATTTTGCCCATTTTGTTGGAAGAATTGTAAAAGATGCAGTGACATAATTCGAGGTGGCAGCAGATGATTTGATGAAAAAATTGACCGTGTTTAAAACAATTCAAAAATTGAATGTGGTGTGACATTATGTCAAGAATTATATCAAGGATTATGGCACTGTATCACGATTGTTTTTCACATATTGATTTGTGATATCAATGTTTAATTTTGAGTGATTTTTAATAATAATTTTTTAAATAATTCTATCATGTATTATTAATTTATTATTCAAGGATTCTGAAAATTCTTAAAAACAAAAAATCATATATACGTTCATATATATAAAAAAAAGGTAGTGTATTTAAATAATAGAAATAAATATGTGTATTACTATTTACAATTCAATATAATTTTACGTAGTTTACCTATTTATTTTTTTATTATATATCAATTAACATTTGAGCTTATCACCGTTGATCTGAATAACCTCAAATAATGCTACTTGCAGTCGCTCACTGCAGCAGTTGCCCTATGTAGCACACACATGGCAGGTGTGTATTTGATGTGTTAAATGTAGTCAAAAACTACCATATTAATGTATCAAATAACTACATGTCATGTGTGTGCTACATATGGCAACTGCTGCAGTGAGCGACTGCAAGTAGCATTGCTCGAATAAACTCTTGCATGTTAATCATTTTCAATAAATATAAAAATCTGTTGCAAATTCCAAAACCAATCAATTACTCAGGAAATCAAACTAATTGATTGTACTCAGTATGGTGGGAGTCAAATTAAAATTTTAGTAAATTTTGATGAAATATACTGTTAAAAAATTATAAATCTTATACAATATATAGTTACAATTAATTATTAACTTTAACTTATAAATAAAACTATTATCCATACCGTATTAGTGAACGTCGATAGGCCTAACATAAATTTAGTGTACAAGTAGACATAACGAGAAAAATAAGAGCTTTTTGAAACGATTGGAGAGAATGATTTATTTATTTGAAAAATTACATGCTTATTTTGAGATATAAGCACGGGTTTTTACAATTTCTCATAACTTTTGTCATCCAAAATTGACAAGCAAGACTCTAAGAGTGTGTTCGATCGTGTTTAAAATCCAATTAAAATTGAAAATATAGTTATTATTGGATCTCACTCGTCTAATAAAAGTCAATTAAAGGTGTTCAAGAGCTAGCCAAGTTTACAAAAAGTAAATTTTAAAATAAATAACTTTTATTGATTAATATAATTATCACTTAATTACGATCTCAATACACTATTTATTTTCATATATCAAACAACGTATTCTTACAAATCCCACAACACCGTCATCTTCAACACCAACAATACAACATATTTTTCTCATTTCTTCTACAATTCCCACAGGCTTTTTGTACAATAAATATTTAGCTAAGAAAATATTGATTCTTTTTGGATTGATGATGATTCATCTCTAATTCCTATCTTTTACTCCCAATCTCGGGTCCTGTAATTCATCCATTGTTCAGGAAAAAAACAAAATTCATGGATGGAATTTCAGATTGCCGAAAAAGGAGAGAGCCGGAATCGGATTTCGAGATTATGAAATTTGATTACCAGTCTGACAACTATGAATTCGTTCATTCGAGACGAAGCAAACGCCTCAAGTCTCTTGTGGCTGAATCATCGAACAATTTTGCGTACCCATCATCTTCCTGTTTCTTCTTCTTGTTGTTGAAGAAGGAAGGTAAAGGTAGAGCACGAGGCGAAGGCGACATGGAAAACGCCGATCCAGCGTACATGTCCGCCGCCTCCGCCGGTGGTACCACTCGGATTTGCTTTGGAGTCATTGCCGGACTTTCGAAAGTCGCTAAATTATCGACAGGAGTTCGGTTTTGTTGAGATTTTGCTTTGTTTTTCATTTTTGTCACGGAATCCACTGATTCCCCTCTTCTCAAAATCGTCAGTTTGCCCTTGACAATCCCATCGAGCGCGGCGGTGTGCCGTGATTTCAAGTCCTCCGAGCTCCATGATTTCTTATACATCCCATTTCCGTTGAATTTTTTCTTTTGCTCCGGCCGCACAACCGCCTTTTTATAATAACCTCCACCGTGTTGCTGCTTCGTATTCGCAATCGAAATCCCGTATCCGGAAAAATTCCTCCGGCGATAAAAACCAGCCGGAGAAACCCGACACCTCTCTACTAAACAATCCTGCGGCCTCAAAACCTCCGTCCCCATTTCCCAAAAAACAAACAGAAAAATTTACGCTAAAAATTCTCGTCACCTGTTCGTCAAAAACATAAAGCCCTCAAAACAAACCTATAAACAGGGAGCCCATAAAAATCCTCCAATTAAAAATAAATTAAACGTTTTTTTTTCTCTAAAAGAAGAAAGAAAACCCAGAAATGGAAAGAAATTTTCGATTTTCTTTCCGTCCTACTCTTCCTCTTCGAGGAAGGAGGTAATGTTTTTTCTTTTTCTATTTTTTCCCCCGAATTCTGGCTCCACTATTGTGATAAATATAAGCTGCGGAAATGGGGGTGAAATATGGTGTATATATAGAAGAGAGGGAGAAAAAAATGGGTTTGAATATCCGACTGAATAATTTATCGCCATGATTGACCCGTGCAGAAAGCTAGAAAAAGCAAGGAAAGTGCGGCCTGGTTTGTTCGAGACCGGGTCGGATGTGGGCTCCGTGGGTTATGCTTCATTTTTCTGTAGTATTTGAGTTTTGCCGTTTTGTGGAGTGTGGTTCCATCCTGTTAATTTGTCTCCGGTTCTCTACTCTTTATCCAATGTCTGTTTTGCCGTATTTCGAATCAAAATTGAGCTTTATTATCAAGAAATCAATTGCATGAATTTTTATTTTGTAGCTTATTTCTAGCATTTAAATTTAATAGTTAGAATATGCCTTGCACGTTATTCTAATATACTTTATAAGTACTGTAAAAGTTGTATTTGATATCAATTTGTTTGGAGAATTTAATTAGTTTTAAATGAACTAAAAATAAAATAAATTTTAATATAGAATTGTATTCTCAAAACTCAACTTCCATCATTCAACATTTTTTATATTACATTTGGTACAAAATAATTAATTGCAAATATATAAATTTAAACGCTTATTAAAAAATTTAGATACATGAATAGAAATGAATTCATCCATAATAACTTTAGATTCATATAGATCAAAATTCATTGAGTCTAGATTAATGTCAATATTAATTAATCGAGAATTAATATCATGAAATTTATACATGATCAAGGATTTTGTAAAATTTATTACATATTGGAAAACGAAAATCAAGATATTATTGAAATAATTAAATTTTAATTGTTAAATTCGTCCAAAAAAATGATTTTCAATTGATACGATATTTAATATATTATAAATTTAAAGATCTATAGCAATTTTTTTTTTTTTTTTTTTTTTTTTTTGTAGCTGATAAAGTTCAAGTTCATTTTAATACTATTTTTCTTTTTTTAATTTACTATATCGTAATTGTGACCATCGTATAAATGAGATCTTTTTAAATCGACGCACAGCATGACACGTGTTCAGCTAGACTTTAGAGTTGATAAATAAACGAAATAATGATTTATATGATTTTAATGTAAAAAAATGCCATTTTTTATTTAATACGATAGGCTTAGTCATCTGGTGGATCGGTCAGAGTATTTCAATAGTCGCAACCACATATTATACTTTCGATATTTCATTGGAACCATTTGTATCCTTGTAGTTATTGGAACCAAACTCAAACCTGAACTGTCGATTCTGATTCGATTCTATCCATAATATCTTTTTTTATGAATATTTAGTAAACATTTTCATATACACCCTTCGATACATACCTAACATGCTATTACTCAATAATATTTGTGCAAAGGAGGAAATTAAGTTATGTGACTCTAAATAATGGAGATTAAAAACTAAGAAAAGATGAGAGAATTAAAACATCAAGAATTAGATTATAGTTTGAGAACAAATAATTTTTTTCTTAATCAATCTTAATTGATCCATGAGTGAGGCATACTAGCGCGTGTAGTTTAATTATGGACAATGTTTAGATTATTCTACTCTTAAAACGAACTGTCATAAAAAATGTTAATTATATATACATAACTTTACCGTATCAAGAAATTTCTGTTCACATATTGAATTGGTTCTATTTTAATAAAGTATATTTCAAAAAAGAACCAAAAACTCGAGATGACAAAAATGGTACATCACAACCCAAGCAATAAATATATCAATTTTAATTATCACGCGTTATAAAAAATTAAAAAATCACTTAAATTTGTAAACAATGCAAGAAAATAAAAATGTCAGAATTGCAAAGAATGAATACTTTGATTCATCAACTTCCAACACAATTCTAGTTTGAACATTTTGATTCATAAAAAACACAAAATGCAAAGATTAACATGTGAGACGAGATGCAAAAAGTAAGAATCAATTTTGATTTCTTAACGTTAGAATATAACATTTTAGAAAAATTACTACCAAAATTAAAGTTATTTAAGTCTTGTATTTTTTACACAGCTATAAATTGTGAAAAATAAAAAATTATATAAATCGATTTCATCCGAGTACCCACGGCTCAAGTTCAATAACTAAGAATTGACTCGGATCCAATTGATTCTTAGTTCTTGATTTTCGATTTCGATTCCAAATTTAATTTTTTTGGAATCGAACTGGAACCTCTACTTTCTATTCGATTTCGATTCACGAGATTCGACATCGATTAAAATGTTCAGGCTTAAATACGACGACTTGGAATAATTGGAGAAAAAAGCAACGGGGACAAGGTGTCCAGCATTATCATCATATTAACGACGTTAAAACTAACGGTAAGTTACATGAGAATTGGTCATCATTTGAGGGGACCACAAAATACAGGTTTTTGTTGATCTTGCATTTCACCAGTGGTCAGTGGGCAGCTATGTTACATTGTTACTATCACCTGCCGCTCCTTTTTATTAATTTATATCCAACTGTAAATTTCACCCCCAACCTTTCAAAATTGGTTGAGAGATTCCCCAACCAATTTTATTAGCCCCACTCAACCCAACTTTCCAATTAACTAGCAAAGTCCGTCCATTTACAAGGTTTCCATGCAATTTGACTCTCAGGTAAAATGACAAATTTTACCTTCATTTAAATGAACCCAAAAAGAAGAGGAGGAGGTAATTGAACAAAAAAAAAAGGCCAAAGGAGCCCAAAAAAGAAACATAACCCAAAAACCAATTCATCTTTTCTCTTCATCCAATCAGGGGTGGACCCAGCACCTGGTCAGCCCCCGCGACCGCCCGTGCTGGGCCCGCCAGGACCTTGAAGTCCGCGGGGAAGAATTGCAAAGCCGGCAGTGAACTGGTGAAGAAGATCAGCCAATTATTATTATTTTTTTTTCCTTTGTAACTTTGTTTTGAGCTTGGGCCTATTATTTTTCAACAATAAGGCCCAATGGCTTGCAACCAACCCATTTCTACAAGGTTCAAATCTAAGATGAAAATCCCAAATTCCCAATTGATTCAATCATTCAAATCCAATTGGCAATTACCCAAACCAAAAGAGAGAAGAGATGAGGCGGGAGAGACAACGGCGAAGGCTCTAAGGTCGAAGCAGACGAAGTCACGAACCTTACCTGTGGGCTGTGGCTGCAGCCGCTACACCACCAGTTCCAGCCTTCCAGCTCTAGCAAACCACCGGTGCACGGGCAGCAGCTTGGAAGCTTCTTCGCAGTTTGCACCAGCACTCAGCAGGACTAGGCGACCAGCACGGCAGCACGCAGAGACGCAGGCAGGGGCAGCAGCTTTTCAGTTCTCTCATCTCTGTACTCTGAGTTCTCTCACCTCTCGGTCTCGGTCAGACGGTGAGTTCTCTTCTGACTTCTCTACTTATGACTTTATGTTTTGTTTGTTATGGTTAATTTGGTTGTTAATTTAGTTAATTCAGGTTTGACTTTTGACTTTTTGTTCTTTTGTTTTTGTTTATATAATATGATTATATGAAATTATGAATGTGTAATTTTAAATTGTAATGTGTTTGTGATTTGTGAATCTAAGAATATTGCGCCTGCAATTTAGGTAGGGATTTCATATTTGTGATTTGTAAATCTAAGAATATTGGGGATTTTGGTAATTTAGGTTTTTAGAAAATTAGGGAAAAGTGAAAAGAATTAATGAAGAAAATGTTAGGCTCAATTAAATTATGTGTAGACTATTTTTTAATCAATTTTGATTAAAA